CATTATTATTTTCAAACTAATTTTTCATATTAATTAAGTAATTAAAAGATGAGTGATAGAAGAGAAAACATGTATAGAAAATATGGACAATCAGTAACGAAGTAACATTAAATATATTGCTTTAAATTATAGTGATTAGTGGTACCTTCATCTGTTAATAGCAAATTATAGAAAATCAATAATGAAATTTTATTTATCATCTTCTGATCATCTGTTCCTGTCTGGGTTAATTCCGAGCCCGGGTCAGACCGTGACACCAACGGTGCCTTATTGTGTTTAAACAACCCATCGAAGTTGAACTTGGAGTTGAAATTCCACTGACAACTCACTGCTTTCTTTCCCCAGGGAAGATCGACCTCATCCTAAGTATGCTTGCACTGAAAAGCATTCATCACGTCCATAACAGTAGCCTTCCAGGACAGGTCAGCCGAAGCAGCTTCTATAGCGGATGGGAGACAAAGATCCATCAAAGAAGTAGCAAATGCTTTATAGGTTGGAGATAAGTTGTGGAACGAGACTTATTTCTCCTTAGGATAAAAAGTGCATGGTTATATTTATTTGTGTACCTCAATTGGAGGATTCACATCTTCACTCGGATCAAAAGTGACCACCGTAAGCGAAGAAAGCATCATTTTGGGGATATCAATCAAAGCGGACTCTAAGATATGCAACGGGGCAGAGATCTCGATAATAGAGGCCTTGGGACGAGTTTCAACTGAGGGTTTTGTAGGACAGGTATAAACATGAATAAGGGATGGTGGTGATATTGTCCTCGCTAGTGACGAATCCATCGGTGCAAAAGGTGCGCCGGAAAACATGGTAGTAGGAAGAACGTCCAACGGAGTCGGAAGAGGAACGATATCCAAAAATTCAAGCTCCCTTCACTTGAGGTAGTGTTAGGGAAGAAGGGGGAATTTTCAAAAAAGAAGACATTGGCACTAACATAGATTTTATTGGTGATAGGAACCAGACACCGATAACATTTTTAAGTGAAAGAATAGCCAAGGAAGACACATTTAATCGAGAAGGGATCAAGTTTACTACGAGTCGAGATTGTGTTTCGAACAAATGTTGTGCACCCGGATATTTTGGGATTTAAAGTGGAGAATGATCGGTTGGTAGAAAAACATGACATCAAGGCGTATAAAGGGGTCCGAAAGTTGTGAATTTTTGTGGGAAATCTATTAATGAGATGATTAGCGGTGAGGATGACATCATTCCAAAAAATTTTAGGGATATTGGTTTGAAACATAAAGGAACGAGCAACTTTAAAATATCTATTTTTTCGCTTGGCTACCCCGCTTTGTTGAGGGAAATCCATATAATAGTTATGATGGAGAATGTACTCACCAAGAATTCTCCCAATTTATAATTAAAATACTCACGGTCATTGTTGGTCTGGATGACTTGAATAGTTACTTTAAATTGGGTTAGAATTGACCGGTGGAAATTTTTAAGGGGCTTTTACATACATAGCACCCAATTCTTATGGATTTACCTATCTCACACCAAAATTTTCATATTTACTAGTATCATATGAAAAATAGCACTCATTATCACATTTTAATAGTCAAATACATCTTTTCACCCATAGATAAAGTGTTGTGTGTGTAAAAATGAAAATGCAGGTGTAGATACGTAAATCCATAAGAATTTTGTGCTACGTATGTAATTTTCCCAATTTTTAAACATTACCGCAACTTCAGATTTATCATTTAATATATAAACCCAAAATATCCAGTTGTAGCATCAATTAAAGGAACCACCTTTTATTGGTTTAGCTAGCAGCTTGAGAGAGTCCTCATAAATCACTATTAATAAGTGAAAAACAAGTTGAATGAGTGTGGGGATGAGGTGGATCTGGCACACAAATTTCACATTTAAAAGAAGATAAATTTTTAAGAATAAACATCAAAGGATACAGCTGTTTTAAGTAATGAAAATTGAGATGACTCAAACAATAATGTAAAAGCGTAATTGGACATGCAGTTGAAAGGGAAAACTACAGTTATGAGATTGAATGTTAGAAATCATCTAGTCACTTTCTAAGAAAAAAAGAGTTTTGTTGTCTGCTTAGCAGTTTCAATCATCCTCCTCAAACGACAAACCTGAAAGACACAAACAACAAAGAAAAAATGAGCCACGCAATCAAGATCACATGTACATTTAGTGACTGACAAGAGGTTACACTTAAATAAAGAATGTGTAACACGGATTACAAAGTCAGCCCAGCTACAAATACAACTGATCATTTAGTCACAATGGAATTATAGGAACCATCGACAATTTTAATCGTATCTCGCCCGGAGCAAGGAGAATACATTGAGGAGGAATAAGAACCCCCGATTATGCGATCTGTGGCACTTGAGTCAATTATCCATGAGCTAAAAAAAGCAAAACTAGCGAGTGTCATAGAAATGTTACCTTGGCGAACATGAGAGATTGATGGGCCAAAGGAGAGATGACTAGACCTAACCAGCCTAATCAAGTGTTTCATCTAACTCGTAATAGAGTATGGTGATTTGGGGATGGCCCGAGTAGAGGCCAATTGAACTGTTATGGACTTTGAGATCATAGTGAGACCTTTAGCAGCGGAAAATTTGGCTGAAGATTTACTTGTTGATTTTTCGTGGAACTTTTAACACTTGTCACTGATATGACAGATTTTGTGATAAAAATCATACGTAGAGTAATTGGCTCGCAACGGAGAGGCAGTGTGAAGTATTGTTCAAGGTTGAAGGCTCTGCTAAATTAGGGGAATTGTCGAGTATAACTAGTCTCTGGCTTTCTTCGCAGCAGCTTTCCATGAATGCGACCCGGGTTGAAGAAAGAGAACTGTGGCCAAGTATACGGCCACATACTTTATTGAGATCCTCACTGTCATTGCTGATTAATTCCATGGAGATCTCAATTAGTCATTCTTACATGTTTCTACCATCTGTAAGTGCCCTCTGGGCTGCAGTTCAGGATACCTACTCAGGCGTAGGTAATTCTGGACAACTCTATAAAGTTTCTAATAAAATCCGCGAAGTGACATAGGGATCAAAGACGGTGACCAAGTACTGCAATGATTTGGTTATCTTATGGATGGAATGTGATATCTACTATGACTACACTTAGGAATATCCCGTGGATCTTTCCCTTTTCTAAAAAAATTTGTAAGAGAATCATGCTTACCAATTTTTGGAGGGGCTGAAGTGATCGAATTTATCCCGACCTTTCACAAACAACGAAACAGCTTCAGATTATTAGAAGAAATTAAACTCATTGAGTTTGTAAGTGGTAATCAGAAAATTATGGTGTTCATATCCTCTGGTTTGTGAAAGGATTGAGGTAGGTGCTAATCCTCTGATGGACTCTAGGACAGTGTCGGATGGAAGTTCGGTGGTGAAGGAATCCGCCATGGCTCCAACGAAGCCATAAGTGAGGTTTGAATGCCAAGACATAGAAGAAGATGATCCCCACTCAGCTATTAGCAAAAGATGGCCTGTAGGGGAGGATTCCAGCCTGCAAGAGAGAGATTCGAACAGGTTAGCAAGCAATCTAGTTACAGGAAGGAGGAGAAACTATTCTGGAAGGATTTCCTGTCGGCAGAAGGAAAGTTCAGTTGCGAGAAAGCCTGCGGGGGGAGAGACTGCAAAAAGTAGTATTGGCAGTCCTGAAACAAGGTATGGTCGACATGAGGTAGGTCCAGCTGACTAAAATCTAAAACCTGCAATAGTTTAGCCAATGGCGGGAAGGTCTATTAGGAAGGGAATCGGCTGTCTGAAAAACTGCAAGGAACAACCCGCAAGAGAAGTGTCGACAACTAGGATAAAATCTCGTGGCTCTGATACCATGTAGGTTTTGAGAATTCAACGGAATACCTTATTGATATGAAATAGGGGTATAAATACACCTTACATGAGTCCTCAAATAATAAAGACATGAAAAAGAAAATAACTGAAAAAACAAAAATAATACATAGATTACAATCAATCAATTTCTAATAATTACTCGGAGATAAAAAGAAAACAACATAAAATAGAAAAGAAAATAAATCCAAATAGGAAAGAAAATAAATCCAAATAGGAAAGAAAATAAATGCAATCCTCATAACTGCTAACAATTTATTTATTGCAACTAGTTACAAATAAACACTTATAACTCCCAAGATTGCCAAGTAATCATGTTAGCAACGATAGGGGATGATAATTTCATAAATAAACATTAGTCATTTTTAAATAAATAAAAAAATTAATTAGCAATTAAATGCTATAAAATTAATAGATTTCATTCAACCACTTTAATATTGATCACATTCAACTCGACATAAACTTCGCTCAATGCAAAATCAATATTGACCACATTCAACTCACTCAAACTCAACTCAGCGTTACTCCCATGGATAGAGCTTTCACATGTAGTAGTAATATTCAATCCAACACACCAAACTAACATGAGCTTGAAATGATCACCGGTGTGCATTATTTCATTATATGTCCAATAGATTGTCAGGTTAAACATAATGCCAAAAGCAATGTGGCATGTATGACTTTAGTGCTTGCGCAAAAAATAGAGCCCTCTCACTAAGTTTTTAAGTTAAATACATAGCCAATCAATTTTGTATTCACAAATTATCTAATAAACCAAAAAAAAACATCAATATAAATGCTTAGAGATTCAAGATTTCGAACTCCATGAGATGTTTTCATGTCAATTCGGCTGGACGGATGACTAAATAATTTTTCTCAAACTAAAAGAGATGGATTAATAAATTGACATTTTAAAACTAGAGAATCAAAGAGTAATGTTAAATTAAGATGGGATGTGGTCTGCTCAATAGAAACTAATACCAACATTCCTCTCTAACATTAAGTGAACTATATAATGAAACGTCAATTAAACAATTAAAAAGCAAAAAACGTGTTTATGCATAAAGTTGAAATCAAATCAGCGTGCCAAACCATATTCGTCGAAGTGGATGAAGCCAAAAAAGGAATTCAAAACATGATGCTTACTTGAGAGTTGCTTCTGCACTCTCTGAAGTAACTTCATCATTTGTAGCATCACGAGAGGGAAGGCTTAAATCGAAGTACTTTACATTCAATTCCACAAAGGGAAGAATTAGCTGCATAATCCTTCAAAGCATGACTTTATATGAAATTGAATTTTAAAAGAAATGAAAAAAAATGGTGAAAAAAATAACATTAACCTTGTCTTTTATTGATTTCCAAATCACTCTTGCCATCTCATCCCCTACAAAATTGAAATAACATAAACAAAATATTCTGCATAATATGCACAAATATATGTCAATTTTGTAGTTATCTTGGTATGCATGAAATTGTCTATTTTTTCTTTTTAATTTCTCGGTAGAGGTTATGCGCTGCAGGAACAATTAAGCCACACAGTTCATGCATCAAACTTATATCATCCTATAAGTAAGCCTTTCATCCGATTGAAAATGAAATTTCAATATGAATCTCAAGAAGCTATTCCACCATGCATTGAAAAAAATAATAATACTACCAAGGTTGAATTCACCATCCCCGTACTTTGGCTATTACATGAGCAATAGTAATAACTGATATCAAGCTGAGTGATAGAGCGTGGAGAAAAGGCAGATTCATCTCATCAAAAAGGTATTCTTTTCAAATAAAATAAACAAGCAAGAAATAAAAAGAGCTTCCCATGATTCATCGTCTAATGCAACACACTAATACTGAAATGATCAAGGCAGAGCTAGCCACTTGCTTGAAGTTGGGCAAATTTATTACCTAAACAAATTAATATTTTAAAAAATAAACTCTTCAACGAGAATTAAATAATTATATCAAACAATTCGTTATCAATATTTTTATTTTTGTCTCAAATCTTTTGCAAAAATATTTCATGAGAGAGGGCAAGATTATTTATCTATTGGTAATTACTATTTTATTTTGCAACTTACATAAAATTTGCCTACATCTATTCTTAAGTCCACCATTGTCAATGATTCCATTAGCACATAAAATCAACAAAATGTAGAATCATCTAAAATCCAGGAGAGCAACTAAAAAATAGTATCAGCCTGTTTACCAGACCAAGAATATTATCTAACCACCCGAGTCACAAAAAACAAAAAAAACCACAAAATTGGTAAAATTTTATGCTTATTAAAGAACACTTGCACTACTCCACTACTGCAAAAGCCCATACTGATAGAGAAGATGCAACCAACACTTTATAGCTGAAATTCCCGCTACCAATAGAGTCACGTTGGAGTAAATCCACACTGCACGCGACTCAACTGTCAATTATTGTCGAATGTAATTGTTAGGTATGGCTCATATACCATATAAGAGACAGATGCTGGAGCGGAAGATTCTATCCAAATCAGGGAAGTTTCCTTATGTGGGTTGGGAGTGAGGTACAGGGGTAATTTGGTAATTACATATTGTACTCCATGGTTTTCTAGGGTTATAAATAGGCATGTATGTAACCTTAGGTCTTATCCCATATCCCATATTATGTATCATGTACTATTTTTTTTGGATTAATGGAAAAGCCGTCGCTCTGCTCCCGAGGACGTAAGCATCTTTGTCGAACCTCGTTAAATCTCTGTGTGTTCTTTTGGATTTATGTCGATTCTTGTTTTTTTTCGCCCTAATTTCTCAACAAGTTGTATCAGAGTCTGATTATAGGGCAGAGGAGAAATCTCAGCGCAGAAGAGTTCAGCGGAACGAGGTTCTCGCGCAAGGAAAATTTTGGGCGGCCAAGATTCGGCGCAGTTCGAAGTTGTTCGAAGGTGCGGTTTTCGTTCTTCTACGATCGGTTCTGGATGAAGCTTCGGACAATTCGGCGCAGAGGAGTTCGGCAGAACAGCAGGCTGACGGGCGAAGGAAGGCGAAGGATTCAAAGGCAATTACCGATTTGGTTCGATGGAGGGCTTCGAGCTTCGGCTGTTTTCTCGGTCGCGGTGATTTCTGTCGAAGAAGATGGAGTTCGCGACTGGGAGAAGGTCTCGATCACCGCGCAAAAGGAAGGTTCGTTGCGGAGATTGCTGGTTCGAAAATTCCTTTGGAGATTCTTTCCTTGCCGGTTCCTGAAGAGCGGGAGGTTCGGGTCCGATTTGTTTCTCACTGGTTCCTGAAAGCGGGATATTAGTTTATGAAGCGAAAGATTGATTTCTTTTGTTGGAGGTGCAAGAAAATTAGCTCTGACTTCATTCCTCTGTGGGAGGCGGCTGTGGAGAAGAAAATTGGAAGCTCTGATTTTATTCCTTTTATTGCTGGAAATATCGGAGGCTGAAAGATGGAAAGTTTTTAAAATTCAGTTAATTAAAGGAAATATTTTAATTAATGGGGAATTAATTAAATAAGCTTAATTAAAGAAATATTTCAATCTTTTCTTTTCAAAAAAAAATAATTAAGGGAATTTTTTTTCAATCTTTTTTTAGAAAGATTCTGAGCAAACAATTACAGAAGAATTTATTACAACAGGGAACCTTAAAGGCTTTGCGATAAAGTTCGATGGAACTGGTAACTTCTGATTGTGGCAAACAAGAGTAAAAATCTGTTGGCACAACAGGGAACCTTAAAGGCTTTGCGGGCAGCAAAACCAGATGTCATGGAGGGTGAAGATTGAGAAGAATTACAACAATGAGCGACAGCAACCATACGTTTATGTCTGGCAGATGAGGTTATGTATCACGTGATGAATCTAAAATCTAAAGGGGAGGTATGGATGAAATTGGAAACTCAGTTTATGGCTAAATCTCTGACGAATAAATTGTATTTGAAGCAAAAGCAGTCTGGGCTGAAGATGCAAAAAGATTCTGATCTGATGCAGCATGTTAATGGCTTCAATCAAATAATCACAGATTTATCACGGCTTGATGTGACTATTGAGGATGAAGACCGAGCAATAATTTTGTTGTGTTCGTTGTCTTCTTCCTAGGAACATCTGGTGACTACTCTTACATATGGGAAGGAAACTATCAAAGTTGATGAGATTACTGTAACATTGTTGGCTCACAACCATCGGAAGCAGAATGTAGGGGAAAACTCTCATGGAGACAATTTATATGTGAAGGGTAATCAAGATCGTGGAAGGAAGAAAGAGAATGAGGGTTCTAGAAAACAAAAATTCAGATCCAAGTCCAAAGACAAAAAAAATAATTCATTGCTACAATTACAATGAGTCAGGTCATATGAAGAGAGATTGTCCAAAGCTCAAGAAACAGGCTGGGGAGAAAGGTGATAGATCATCGAAGTCTGTAAATGTGGTACAGAGTGATAATTCAAATTGCAGTGATGACGATATGTTTTCAGTTTCAACTCAGTTCACAGAACGTATGAATTCTTGATTCAGGATGTTCTTATCACATAACATTTAACAGGGAGTGATTTACTTCATATAGGTCAACTAATTCTGGCTCAGTTTATCCAGGTGATGATAGATGTTGCAATATTGTTGGTATTAGAGAAGTCAGAATTAAGATGTATGATGACACAGATAGAACATTATGTGATGTCAGACATATTCCAGATCTGAAAAAGAATTTGATTTTCTTGGGGACTTTATATAGAAATGATTTCATTCCTAAGACAGATGAGGATAGGGAAACCATCATAATTGTTAAGGGTGCACTGACTGTGATGAAAAAAAAGTTAATTGCAGGTAATATCTACAAACTGTTGGGAAGTACAGTTGTAGCTAGAGTTCATTATGTGGAGTCAGGTGATGATACTGCAAAGATATGGCATATGCGTATAGGTCATCTCAGTGAACGTAAGATGGTGGAATTGCATAGAAGAAACATGTTGCATGGTGTTAAAAGCTGCAAGTTTGATCTTTGTAGGTTATGTGTTCTTGGAAAACAAACTAGAGTCAGTTTTATGACTGGAAAACATAAAACTAAAGGGATTCTGATTATGTGCATTTTGATGTATGAGGCCCTACCAGGGAAACGTCATTGGGAGGATCTCAGTATTTTATTACCTTTATTGATGATTTTTCCATGAAATTTTGGGTGTATTTCTTGAAGCATAAATCTGAAGTATTCTCTAAATTCAAGCTGTGGAAAGCTGAGGTGGAGAATCAAACTGGCAGAAAAATCAAGTATTTTAGGTTTGATAATGACACAGAGTACACAGATTCGTAGTTTCAGAAGTTATGTGAAGAGCATAAGATTCAGATGTATTTTTCAGTGCGTAAGACACCACAGCAGAATTGTGTAGCAGAATGGATAAACAGGTCCTTAACTGAAAAAGCAAGATGCTTGAGACTGAATGCAAGGCTTTCTAAGAGTTTCTGGGCAGAGGCTATGAAACAGAGGTTGAGAATATGACATGTTATCTCATCAATAGATCACCTCGGGCATCGTTGGGTGGCAAGATCGCAGAAGATGTATAGACAGGTAATCCAGTTAATTTCGACATGTATAAATTTTTTGTTATTTTGTTTATGTGCATGTCCTGGAGATGAAATATCAAAACTTGATGTAAAATCCAAGAAGTGCATCTTTCTGAGCTACAAGAAATGTGTGAAAGGATACAAGTTTTGGGATTCAATTACAAAGAAGATGGTGATTAACAGAGATGCAGTTTTTTATGAACAGTCCATGTTGCAGCAAAATCAAAACAATGTGTCAGGGAACAGTTTCAGTTCAAATGCAGTGCAGATGAATTTAGAACAGCATCCAGAAACAACTGGGAGAGTTGAATGTTCAAATCCAACACCTGATGATTCCATTCCAGATGATCTGCAGAATTATAATCTAGCCAAAGACAGACAGAGACACACCAATATAAGATCTCCTAACATATTGGGTTATGAAGACTTGGTCTTTTATGTGTTTCTCATCAGCAGCGATGATCCAACCACTTTTCAAGGAGCTAGCACTAGCCAGGAAAAAGAAAAATAGATAGGTGCAATGGTTGAGGAGATTTTAGTCTTTACAGAAAATCGCACATGGGAGCTAATTCAGCTTCCTGAGAGAAAGAAGCCTACTGGGTGCAAGTGGGGGGAGGGTATACAAAAGGAAACAAGCAGTATCAGAAAAAGAAGTGAAAAAATTCAAGGCTCGACTGGTAGCAAAGGGATTTTCACAGCAGAAGGGGATATATTATGATGAAATCTTTTCTCATGTGGTCAGACATACTTGAATCAGGGCAGTACTTGCATTAGTAGCTATTTGTGATTTGCATTTGGAGCAGATAGATGTTAAAACTGCTTTCTTGCATAGTGATTTGGAGGAGCAGATTTACATGGAG